TTTAAATTTATTTCATGAGATTAGTAGCGAGTTTTTTTATAATTTAAAGTACCCACGATTACCAAAGTTAAATAGTAATAATGATGAGAATGATAAATATAATTATAGTATGTTACGAAGTATGGGCGATAAATGTGATTATTCGTTAGGTTTAGTTTTTCTCAATACATATAAACACATGTCACATGCATCGATCTCGTGATTTACATTCGATAAATTCTAGTCTCCAATGGCCAGTGGCGGATTTTTAGCCTTGGTCGCCCTAGGCCCCCCTAGTACTACATGGGCTGGGGCCGCCCCTGCCGCCCCAGCCGCCCCTTCTAAGAGCCTATCATGTATATTGTTATCATCAGTGAATTTTTTGTCACGATTAGCCGCTGCTAATATGTGACCACCCTAGGCCCTAGGGCCTATTCGGCCTTAGGTCAAATCCGCCACTGCCAATGCCCCAATGCACTTCATGGCCAATTCACAGTATGATGCACTTCATGGCCAATACACAATATGCAGTGAATAGGTTATAAATACATATATGCGCTAGAGTTGCTTTTATATACGACAAATAAAATTTAACGTTCTTTTTTTGTTGAAAACCACTTGAACGGACATAGAGTATTCGTTAAAACATGAGAACAGTTCAATTAACATATGGATAATCGATGACCATAAACAATACAGATAAATAAGTCTATTTCTCACATTTTCATGTGTTAATATCGGTATCGTCATTCGGAATGTATAAATTTTGGCCATACATTTATAAAATCTTGAAAATGTAATTAATGCATTGAAGGTGTTTTGACTCTATCATAAGAATGTTCAGATTATAATACTAAAAATTGATCACGGTTACTAATTCCTTTAATTTAAAATAAAATTCAAGGTTTTCTTGTAATCCTTAAAAGGAGGCGGTTATAGCCCTTTTTAGATTGGTACATTTTGTAAGTTTACTGTAGATCAAATGATGTTATATTGAGCAGAAATGTATTGCATAGAAGAATTCTGTTCAGTTATGACAGCATTTTTTTCGGCTAAATGGCTCTTTTATGATTTCCAAAACATCTGAGTTTTAATATAGCAGTTAGTTGTTTACCCATCGGTTTAGGATTGAATTATGTGTTAAATAAACCCTTTAACTTACAACAACTGCGTAGATCAAACAAATTCATCTTTAATAGTTATAAACTATACCGACTTGAAATATATTCTCATTCACAATAAATTTTCTATTTGAATTTGACGAGTTCCTTGATGTATCCCCCAAGTACCAATACCAATTAAATTTGGGACCCCATGGAGCTAAACGAAAATCAATTCAAAAAGAATTTTCAAAACTGGTTGATAAGTAACGGAGTACTGAAGTATAAATATAAAAAAAACCTAAGACCAAATTGAGATACTCCTTTTTTGAAGTCGGTTGAACATTAAATAATGGAAGAGTATTAACAACGAAGTACCAACCTTAGAAATAGAATGTGGGTGGTTATAACGAACAAGATAGTATGAAAGCCACACCATATTTTTGTTCGGAAGTTTATTGTCTCGACGATTACCAACCTCTCGTCTTGAGAGATAAATGCTCGAGCTCGCTTAAAGCCGTATGACGTAAGAAGTACGTCCTATTGACCCCGGCCAAGTGGCCTGTCTATTGCCCCCGCTTAATACGTCCTATTTTAATAAATTTTGAAGACGTTTTAAGTGAAACTTAAATTTTTAATAATTTTACGTTAGATGCATAAACTACACTGGGACAAAAAATAAGGGGAGGATTTCAGATTTCAGGGGAGGATTGATTGGGAGGAAGGAAATTGATTCCTGAAACTATAGTATGGTGTATTATTATAATAATACGTTGAAGATGTTTTAAATTTTTATAGTGCTAAACTCTGCATTTAAGATGTAACATTAAAATTTGTGGAAGAAAGGACGAAAAGCTTTTCGGCGCTGCGAGAATCGAACCAACGTCTTCCTGAATCGCCCATAGACGCTGAAGCACCGAAGAAAATGTGAATGTGTTTTATCCACAACTTTCTGAAATTTCGATATGAAAAAAAAACTCTTTTGTTCGCATACGATAAATGCGAACAATAGAGATTTTTTATATCTGTTACAGCATGGAAAAAATTTAAGTCGTTTTACAATCTTATCCTTTAAACGAGCAATTCTTGTATATATATATATATATGGGAAACGGCTCCAGGGATTTTCATGAAATTTAGTAAGTGCGTAGAATCGGGGGCGAAAAATCGATCTAGCTAGGTTTCATTTTTAGAAAATGTCCTTTTATCCCTGTTTTCAGGCAATGAAAAATATCATTCGAATATGAGGGTAAATTTCGCCGCAAAAGAAAATGTTATAATAGCTCGGTCGGTAATCGGGCGGTCCCAAAACAGATGGCCGTGGTTCGTGTCACGTTCATTTATTTACACACTCTTTTTTTTTTACTTTTTTTTTGATTCCAGATCGTTGCTTTCTTTCTTTTGTTATTTTTCCCTTTTTTTATAGTTTTTTCTTTTGTGAAAAACACCACTTCATATTTTCTTATTATTAGGTCGGTAAGATCCAAAAATATTATGCATATTTCATAACTCAGTAATTTCCAAAATACACGATTTACAAAAAAAAAAAAAGGTCTTCCGGGTACTGTTAATTTAAACGAGAGAAATTACCACTGTGGAAAACAGAATTACTAATACTTCCATTTCAGACTGGTCTTCTGAGGCCATAGTATTTCCCCAGATGAGCCTGCCCATTCGTGAAACAGCAGAAGCTGTTGCGTAGCCCGACCACCAATAATATAAATAATAAAATATAAAAGCGTTTAGTGCCTTTTTTCTACGCTAGGCCAAAACTCATATATCTCACAATACATAAAATCTGATATATCACTTGCTTCGACCTTTAATTTAATTTTCCATATTAATTTTCCATAACGTCAGTGAAAGACTCAGCTGCTCTTTTAACAAAACTGAAACGAAAGGCGTGTTTAAATACAGTCATACAGAATCTGTTTAACTGAATTACAGGTCAATAAAACGCAGAATATTTATAAATACGTTTTTATTAAACACGTTTTGTAAAATAGATCGATTAAAACTGACATTTACAACAAACAACTATAAAATTCTTCGTATTTCATGCTAACACTAATCATATATGATAATAGGTCCAATAAATATTCGGTATAGGACACTAATACGAATATAGTCTATCAAATGTATTGAAGATCTGCGTTGCAGTTATTTCAATATAACATTTTTACATGTTCTTTAGCGTATCACTTAAGGATGGGAGGCTTTCCGAGACAGTACACTTTAAAGTTAATGCATTTATTTATTAGCCGACTAAATACATTTTTAATTAATGCAACTACATGATAATACAAGTTTACAGATTATGTGATTTTACTGGAAAGTAAATGATTATTTGGTAACATGATGTGCCCTCTGTCCAAACTAGGTACTTTAAGTTTGTTGACCTCAGGCGAAGGCAATCGGTCACAATTAAACTATTTATTTTACAATTGTGAATATGCTTATTCACCTATTTTTACTGAAAAAATAATAAGCCTGCATTTTAGTAAACGTACTAATGGAACAAAAATAATTTCGATACATATCAGTACTATCTCAAGATCTGAAAAAAATTATTAAGTTATTCTTTTGTTCCAAGTATTACATATGATGAAAATGCCTAATTTTCATTAATTAATAGATGATCATGTACATATATAAGTAATTAAATCTCAGTTTTATCCAACACAGTTAAAATAGCAACGTAGCGTTATAAACTATTCACTTCATTAATTTCATATTTATTATCTTCATACTTTAAAAGTAAGTTGGGCATTTATAAATGAAATAAATAGTTTGTTATTACATAAAACTACTTAGTTTTATACTTTTAAGTCAACTTTAAGCCATGGCCTATAATTATAGGAAAAAGTAACATTAAATTCGAGGAATGCGTTATATCTATGGGTAATAATATCGATGACACAAAGTCTAGAAGCTTTTAACATTAACTGCATATTTAAACATTGTTTACGTCTAACATACGAGAAGCTCTTATTTTATAAATCCTATACCGCAGTTTTGAAAGCTCTTTGGACTGAATTCAGAATACGAAACATCCTTTTGCATGTCTTCGGAAACTACACTGAAACAACGTCGGAGGTAATTAAAATCGTACCTTATATGATAAAAACAAATGCGATTTCTCATTTTACCCACTATATTAATTCAAAATAAAAACAGAATTTGAAGACACGCATTTTAATTTATACATATTCATATATAATTTTCAAAATTAATAGAAATTTAATTTAAAAGCGTTAAAGATAATATTATACCTATTTTAAACAACATCAACGCTTTATAATTTTAATCTTATATTAATAGTGTAAGATATTAAATTAACAACATATTTTTCATTCTTTTTTAAGAGGATTTGCATGAAATAATTATTTAATCAAAATGTTGGATATACGTAGTTTGGGCACGGTGGAAACAAGTAAAATTTAGTCAAGTTTAAAATACTAAGCGGCCAATTTATTATAACATACTCATTTATTGATTATTGTATAAACCCATGTACAAATGTGATTCTAGGTACAAAAATTTCTTTTTTCATACTTAACAAACATATTGGCAGATTTTTAGTGGTTCCTTCAAACTTCGCTTGTTTATTAACAAAAAGGACTTTCATTAAAATCCCACCATTAACCTGTAAATACTCATCAAGACTAACCTCTACGATATCACTGGATAAGAAACTGTCTTTTATCAATAATTTATCCGGATACTTTCAACAAACAACATTTCGTATCTTACCTGATATTGAAACCAATAATAACACATCACTCTCCACACTCAACATTGGGAATTGATCTAAGCCAATTCACGCGGGCAACTAAGCGTGCAACAATTTGTGCGTCACTCCACCAGCACTCTGACACGAAGGGGCGGGCCGATACTGAGGCGTCGATCGGAGATGGCTCACGTGGGGCCCGCTGGTGCCTCTTTCATCGGGAGGGGGGAGAGGTGTGCGTGGACGTTGAGTGCGGTGTCAGTGCTGTTCTTCCCCGGTTCGGTGGTCTGGTCGGGTGGGCCCAGGTCCGGGGGCTCCTCGGGGGGCGCGGCCGCCGGTCTGATGCTCTCCAGCCGTGGCCGTGGCGAGTAGCGCGGCGTCAGCGATATACCCCCGACGACCGGGTGCGATTTACGATTTCCAACTGCAGGGCGTCGTGCATCATGCGCTCGTTCTCCTGCCGTACTGCGGACAAGCAAGCGGCAGGCTTAACCATCGTTGGGACGGGAGCATGGCTCGGGCACGGCGGGATCAAAGTCAACTTTTATTAATTTTAACTATGTTCGCTGTTGCAGGAATGGGCAGGACCGTCCGGGTTAGTACCACGACCTCACAGAAGACCAAGTAGAAGTGTTACACTTCTGCGTTTCGTCTGGTGAGTGTGGTAGTTGGGGCCCACTTTATTAAAAGGTGGCAAGATGCGTTGCCACCTTTTAATACAACTTTTGCAACCCTACGGGTATTGCAAATGTTCATGGGCGGTGGTTATCACTTAACATCAGGTGAACCGCCAACTCGTTTGCGACTTTTTCATATTAAAAAAAAAACTTTCGGATCTCAGATACAATGGTGATTTATATATAGGCCGGCTCAAAAATTGCTAAGACGGGAATAAGGCCCGGAAACAGCTGAACTCACCAGACTCAAAGGGGATTTATCAACATTTGATTCTTAAATTGATTTTTTTAAAAAAATTAGGGTTCATACATTTATACTTTAAGTTTTTATTCACGTTAAGTGATTCCAAAGGGTAATTTAAAAGTCAATATATGTGAGAAGGTTGTCCAACCGTTGTCATCTTTTAGTAAAATGGGCCCTGGTCGAGATCGTGGTACTTTTTCGGACGGGCCTGCCCATTCGTGCAACAGAAAAGTATGCTGCGTGGCCCTTCCAGAGTTAAAATTTTATATATTTTCCTATATAATTTTTATGCACAAATAAATGATTAGGTAAATAGTGAATAAAGTTAATCATTTAAAAACATATTGCATGTTGATCTTTTAGTTGTCATATTTAAGCTAATCAAAGAAACAAGTACTGTTGATAGAATGTAGTAATTCGCCAAAAAGTTTGGGCAGATTGAGTGAACTTTAAACCATTCTATATTTTCTAAAAACAATAGATATGTATTTAATCACTTTTAGAAATCAGTACCAGTATTAATTTTTTAATATCATTATAACAACATTTAAGAAAAATCGAAGTTAGATATTAGTCTGTTAAAAAGCTTGCAAGAAAGTTAATTGTTAAAATGTTTAATAAAAATTAATATTTACACAAGTATGTATAGTATGTAAGTACATATATGGGCCGAATGACATTATTTTTTGCCAAGTTTAACATACATTTGTTTAGAACTTATTGAATAATTTTTGCTTTTAATATCTTTTAAAGACAATTGGAGGCCCGCGCTGACGGCCGTATGAGAAAGCTCAAAATTGCTTGAACCTTCTGCATGTGAAGTGTTACTATATATATTTTTTATGTGAGAATGTGGCAAGCGAGCTGGCGGTTCACCTGATATTAAGTGACAACCGCCGCCCATTGATATTTGCAACACCCGTAGGGTTGCAGACGCGTTGCGTTGGCAATGATTCAAACCCCGTTAGGATTGTTTTAAAAATTTTCGGTGTGTAAAAGGTTATAGGATATGTAATATAAATTTTATATATACCTATTATACGATTACCATCGGTGTAACTGTAGTGAAATTGTTTCCAGATGAAATTGATATGTTTTAAATAAAAATAACTACCTACAACTTCTTTCTAAGTTTATCTATCCAATCCAATCCAATCAGCCTTTTGCAGTCCACTGCTGGACATAGGCCTCCCCAAGAGTACGCCACAGAGTACGATCTTCCGCTTTCCTCATCCAGCCACTACCAGCGACCTTTCTCAGGTCATCGGTCCACCTGGCAGGGGGACGTCCGACACTACGTTTTCCGAGACGTGGTCTCCATTCGAGAACCCGTCTGTTCCAGCGCTCATCGGTTCTACGACAGATGTGGCCAGCCCACTGCCACTTCAGCTTGCTACACTTACGGACTATATCGACAACTTTGGTCCTCTGCCGGATAATTTCGTTTCGGATTTTATCCCTTAGCGAAATACCGAGCATAGATCGTTCCATAGCTCGCTGAGCGACATGTAATCGGTGGGCCAGCCTCACCGTCATGTTCCACGTCTCGGCCCCGTATGTCATGACTGGCAGGACGCACTGATTGTAGACCCTGCTTTTTAGACATTGTGGTAGTGGCGACTAGAAGCTATGACGCAGATTTCCAAATGCTGCCCAGCCAAGCTGCACTCTTCTAGTGATTTCATGCTCAAAGTTGTACCTAAGGTCTACCTAACTGCAATGTCTGCCCGAGGTAAACGTACTCTTGGACAACTTCGAGCGCTTCGCCGTTGATCGAAATCGGCTCTGGACTTATAACCTCGTTGAACATGACCTTAGTCTTGTCCAAGTTCATCCTGAGACCGACCGATGATGAGTCAGCATCCAAGCTTTGCAGCATGATTTTCAAATCCTGCATCGATTCTGCCATTAAAATGATGTCGTCGGCAAAACGAAGGTGGCTGAGATATTCGCATTGATGATCGAAGTTTATCTAGCTTCAATATAAACTACTTTCTCGACTAGGCAGTATGAGTTGCAGATTTAGCTTATCATCCATTTGTAAATATATATTCATATAGTTGCTTTTATTAGAGAAGAATACGATGGGTTCATGGCTTTTAATATTTATCATTCGCTTTTCTCCACGATACCAGGTTTGCCGGTTCCTCTAAAGGATTATTCGCATTTAAAATAATCAGGAGTAGGAAACCTAATTTATTATTTTCCTACGGCTTTTATATGTTCAACGCATTTAAAATAATTATTATATTGGCAACTATTTAAATTGAATATACGCATTTAAAATTCAGAACATATTGATTAGCATTCCCTTGTCGTTAGGGTGAATTCCTCTTTGATTAGTTGACCGACAAATTTGAATTATTATTACACCATTACGTCGCAAGGTTGGAACAGTGTTATGTGTTGTGAAAACTAGGTTTTGTGATAAACTTCTTGTGCGTTTCCAATTCTAACGAGTAAAAACGAGTATCGTAAGTTGATGAAATGTAATGAAGTAGTAGGTGAACATCAAAAAGTTTGGTTGGGGAGTTTGAATTAGGTAATTATTCTTTTTTTTTCTGCTTTTAAAAAAATATTTCCCTTACTGTAGGATAACATTATCATATGTTGTAGGAGCGTTTTACAAACTTAACTTTCACGCGGACAAGCACCGAGATCTGAAACAATTATCTGTGGTACACAAGTACTCGACCCGTACGGGAATCGAACCCGCGACCCCGGCGCCGAAGCTACCTTGACAACAGCGCTACGAACACATTAAAGTTACATAAATCGTAATATCTTATTAAGATTATACTATTTCATTAACTAAACTGTAGTGGTAAATTTTATGTACAAAACATAATAAATGTGAGATTAGATTTATCCCTATAATTTGAGAAACATTGGCGATATATTTTATAAACATGAGAAAGGTTGTGTCTGATCCTAGCTAGAAGCTCCACGCGGAGCCTGAGAGGAATCTCATGTCTTTTAAACAACATTCCACCAACTGAGGATACTTTTATTGCAAACAATAAAAAAATTGTATTGAACCACAACTTAATAGAATATCGCACAAAACAATAACTGAATATGAGTATAACAACCAAACAATATTGCATTATGTTATCAATCTAGCCGCGTTGAGAATTGACGTTCCACTCAATAACGATCATATTCGTATTGTGGGGCGAGCAAACAGTGTGTTTGCTTGTTCAACATAATGTATCGATTCCAGGGCTTTTTGTTTATTCTCTGTGGCGTCATATTGGATCGTCTACTTCTTTTTATCAATATTTTTTTTGTAATTAACCATTATTATATGTGGATTGATATCACTTAAGCTTAGTTTTAAGCTCGCAAAACCGACACAGCACCAATGAAAATAAGGGCACCCAGAGCGCGGTGCATCTTTGACATCAAAATTTCCGGATCGACAACGCTTAAATCAAATTTGTGCTACTCTCACAGACACTGCACTAGGTCCATAAATAGCACAAATTTTTTTCGCGGCTTGCGTGGCATTTTTTCCTTTTTAGTAGTAAAATTTTAAAATCTATCGAATTTCTTCATTAGTATCACTCATCTGAACAGTAAGAAAAACAAATGAAAAGCACAAATTTTCCTAATTTGAATTTGGAATTATCTTTTTAAAATTTAAACTTTTTAATGATACCAAATCCAGCCAGATACAAATGGTATAGCGAAAGAGATTGTAAGTGCATACATACTATTTGCGAAAAGAGTTTTTTCCCCAACTTATTATGAATGCTTCTGCTCTTTCACGGTAGACTTCAAAAGAGAGTTGGCGAGCACCAAACAATGTTCCATGCAATGATGTTTTAATAAAGATGACGTATGTCCATAAGGAAACTTATAGTGTCAAATCTATCTCGTATTTGCAATGATGTTTAATAATGTAAATGACGAGGGTCCATACAGCACGGCGTTAAAAAATTGTTCCGCATTACATAATCCTTACTAATATGGTTATATGGATGTTAGTTGATATATATACAGCGTGTCGTTACCATCGCGACAATAAATGAACACACGTCTAACGCTACTTGCCAATAATCATAAAAAAAATTAACGTTAAAAAAATCCATAATAAAAAAAATATTTTTCAAACAAAGTAAAAAAGAAACAAAATTTGTAACATCCTATACAACTACAACTAAATGATTCATACATTCAGAGACTTTTTCATTCGTTGCCGCAGCGTTGCATTACAAGCCTCTCCTTCTAACAGTATGTTTTGTTCTTTTAAATTCATTCAACCCATTCATATGCTTTGTGACCTTTACAAATGAACTTTACGTTATGGTTTTATACGTAAGGGTGTTATAAAATTCTTTGTTTTGTAAAATTTAATAACTCGGTAAATATTGATGTTTAAAAAAGTAAATGTTTAATACAATTTTAAAAAGTTATCCTCTATATGTGTGTTCATTTATTATCGCGATTGTACACGCTGTATATATACTACTGAATGGATTTTAATGAAACTTTACAATAATGTAGCTTATACATCAGAATAAAACATGGGCTATAATTTATATACATATTTATATCTGTCTTTCTGTCTGAATGTTACGCCTTCAGCTTATTCTATGCAGACGTAGTCGCGGGCAGCAGCTAGTAAAACATATATAAGTAAACGTGACGTATGATGTAGAACGCGGAATACGGAAAGACTGTAAGAATGTCATAATATCAATTGGCGTGGTTTGAGTGCATCATTTTGTGTGTGCTAGTGTCATCTCTACTTTGAATTTATAATATCATTGCGTAAGTGTTTATAATATGATGGGTGTCATGTGAATGGCGTTTGTAAACATTAATAACAATTATGTCTTTCATTTCTCCTCATACTACATAACGTGATACAGTAATTAGTTAAGCTAAAAATATACAATGTAGCAAGTGATTATGGGTAGCTCTCTGTGTTAAGGTTGTATTATATCACTACATCGTAAAAAAAAGTCGCCCCGCTGTCGGTCTGTCTTTATGTATACTTAGATCTTTAAAACTATGCAACGGATCTCGATGCGGTTTTTTTTTACTAGATATAGTGAAATTTAATTTTTTTATAGTGCTAATCTCTGCACTTTTTCTATATATTTTAATGGTCAATCTTCATTAAAATATATACAAAAAGTACGGAAAGATAGTCGCCGCTGCTGTGGGAATCGAATCCACGTCGTCGGCATTCGCGGCCTTACGCTTTAACCGGCTGACTTTAAACGGCTGATTGCCACACCGATGAAAATCTTAACGTCTTTTATCTACATTGTTTTTTAGCATTTACGCCAAGCATTGCTTAGTGGTTAAAGCGGCAGGCCGCGGATGCCGAAGACGTGGGTTCGATTCTACAGCGACTACAATATTTCCGTACTTTTTCTACATATTTTAATAGACATAGTGATTCAAGAGGAATGTTTATATGTATAATACATTGCACCCGTGCGAAGCCAGGGCGGGTGGCTAGTAAACTATAAAACAAGGCTTTATAAATATTTAATCTTGGCAATCAATAACAACATTTTGTCCTATAAATGTCCCACTGCTGGGCAAAGGCCTCCTCCGTAAAGAGGCTCAGGGCACAGTCCACCAAGTGACCCCACTGCGGATTGGCGGACTTCACATATTTTCCTCACGATGTTTTCCTTCACCGCCGACCACGTGATAAGTCAGCACTTAAAATTAACAATTTCATTGGTGCTGGCGCCAGGGATCGAACTCAGGTTGTACGAGTAAATTGAATTAAAGGCGAGCGCCCGGACACTGAGCTATCACGGCTCATTTTTTAAATTAATTAATAATTCCAAGTTATTTAAATAAACCTTTATCAATTGCATTAAATGTGTTTACGATAAAGAAGTATAACTTCTTACGTGCGTACATAAGTATACAAATACTTTTTTATCGTAGGAACAATTTGACGGTATAATTAAGAGAAGTACTCATGTGATTACTTCTAAGTTGTAATAATGCTTACTTTATAACAAAAACTGAAGTATACTAAACTAGGTATTAGTTATAACCTTCTCGTGGCAAATATAGTGTTGATTTGGACTTTATAATAAACAATTAAAATAGCAGTTGACTGATATTGATATTAAAAATAGACTATGGGAAACGATTTAATGCAAACATTGTGTATCAATAGTCTATATTTCACTTTCAACCTTGCATTGATTGTTTCTTGTTGAATACATGCGCTGCGTATCATCAAACATAAATAGCTTTCCACAGTAGATCTATTCACACCGTAAATTCTCTACTGACACTGCAGCGAAAGTGGGACGCAACAGGCCATAAAACACCTCAAAGCAAGCTGTTTGTTCCAGTTAATTTAGTACTTTTACAACCGTCGCATTGAGAACACTGCGAGGACCCAAAGAAATACGGAGTTTCATTTTTCAAAGTATCTATGTAACTGTTCTAAAGTTTACGTTTACAAAAGCATTTTAAGGTATAAAATGAATGGTTTGTTTTTAAAATTAAAGTTTCTTCTTGTTCGTGCCACGTTCGCTTTATATATATATATTAACCGTTGAAAATAAAATACATTTAAAAGATACTAAAGTTCAAAACAATTTTGAAGTTATGATATTTGTTTTAAAGTTATGAAGCACTTCCTACTTTCAGAATTTTAAAGTTTCAATATAACTTTATTTTGAAACAAGAAGCAATATTTTTTTTAGGATTTTTAATAGTTGCGTATAAGTTATTGTTTTATTTGGATGGTTATGTTCTAGGGAGTTAAAATGTGAATTTTTAGTGAATGAATTGGCGAAAGTTTTCAGCACTGCGGGATTCGAACTGTTCTGAACTGATAATTTC